GGTGCTCCCAAATCCCCGCCCCCTCGTCGCTTCTGCCCCTCCTCGCCCCGCCTCCTCCAGATCTTCAGGATATTTCCATTTCTAGCGGAGAAGCCGGAGCTGGGAGGGGAGGTTCGTCCTCCGTGAGTCGCCGGAGTCCCCCTGGTCCCCCAAATCCTGGGAAAACGGCGCATCCTTTGATTGTGGCTAGCTAGGAGCCCAAGTGTGCGCCTTGGTTTGCCTCCCATTTTCAGAGGAAAAGAGGTCTACAGGAGGCGGAGTGCTGTTACGGCAAAAGAGACAAGAGACTACTCTCCCTCTTTCTCTCTTTCCCCCTCTCCCTCATTAAATAGATTCGTATTTAAAATGGGCTCAGATATTTTAATTTGAATTCCAGGGGTTGAACTCGGGTTAGGAACATCCTATATATAATTGGACCGAAAATAACTGTTGAAACGAACAAAATGCAACTATTTTCCAAAAAATATGTCTGTTTCAGGTGGATGCCCCCCGCCCCCGCTCAAGCAACCGCGATCTCCTTTGGTTTTGACCGAGAACGGGAGATCGCCTAAGGAGGGGGCTGGGTAGGGACAGCGGGCGAAAGTGTTGGGGGGTGGGGCGCGGCGCGTGCGTGAATGGGCGGCGGTAATATATATGCTGCCATTTAGAATCCGTGCAGCTTCCAGCGCTCCGGGCGCAGGGACGCATGTGTTGCTGGAATTCAATCCGTAGGGGGAAGGCAGATTGGGCTGCGACCCACTGGGTTTGATTTATGAACTGTTACACTAGCAATTGTTTACACATTGCATTTCAGATGCCGGGCGCACCCACCTCGCCGCGGGCGGGCGGCGGAATTCTCCGTGCGGGAACCTACGGCAGCCTCTGTCTCCCACCGTCCTCCTCTCTCCCCCACACATACCCCGGGGACCCCACAGCTCCTTCTCACCCCCCACCTTTTCCCAAGAAATCGAATTTCGATTTTATTGAACCCCAAAACTACGTTCACTTTTCCCTACCCCCGCTTGTTGCGGGCCCGCAGCCCTCGGACCCAGGTCGCTGCCCGCCGCGGTTTACTCGGGAATGTTTACTTCTTTGTAAGGCCATGCGGGGTCTATAAATAGGAGAGGTGAAAGCAGCTCTCCGGCCAGATCAATAGGGCCCCGTCTCCTCGCCATTTCAGCAGAGCCGACTTATTAATTATGAAAGGATTCACCTGATCCCTGCCAGGGAACACAGCCTCTCAGGCCCCTGTGCTAGAGCCCTTAATGGCGGTTCCTTCACGAGCTGCCACCGCAGAGGAAGAGGCGAATCGTGGTTAGGGCTCCGACCCGCCCGGGGCGGGGGCAGCGGGACGGCCACTGGCATTCCGTCTGCCTCTGCTTTCTCAGTTGCGAGCTAACCCAGTTCCTCCAAACCTCACCTAGAAAGAATCTCTGCTTTCTAAATCGTTAATTTAAGGAAAGCAACTTTCAACTTTCTCTTCTTCCAGTAAGCGGAATGTCCTAGAAATGGCAGCGTCCTGCGTGAGGAGGTCTGCGTGAAGGAGGCAGCTGGCCGCTGGCCAGACAGGTTTGTGAACGGGTGAAGCTAATGTCTCACGTGTCCCCGGAGGTACCCTGAAAATTCAGCCAAGAAAGCAGGGGTGGGGTAGGAAACAAACGACATCCCATTTCAAACAATAACTTTTATTTTATACTTCTCTATACTTTGTAGCAAATCTTTTTTTTGCTGAATTTAATTTATAATAAACTTTTTAAATTACATCTCTCTCTCTCTTATTTTTTTTAAAATCAAGGCTCTTTATGTCAAAATCTTTTTTTAACTATATTTTAGATTAACATTTAACATCCCCCCTTGTGATCTATACCGTTGGATATTTGGGCATTATGGATGTGTAACAGCTAAAACAAGAGAGAGGAGGGAAAATAAAGACAGTGAACTTGGAAAGATGCGTCAATAACAGCAGGTAAAGCTAATCCCTCACTGACCATAGCAGCATTTCTTCTGGAAGCCTTTACTTTTACCCCAGAGATTCCCTCAAACCCTTTCCTTTCTCTCTCCTGTCCTTTAAACACAAAGCCAACAGTCTGGCCTTTCTCTTTTCTGGAGGAGAAATGTGCAGTGGAAATGATCAAAACAAGATACTGTGGAAGAACGACGTGAGCGTGAATTATTCACCATCTGCTTCGCTCGCGGACATCTCTCTTGAATTCATTCCCCTGGCCTTCTTCTCTCCTCGCTTTCCGATTAGGAGGAGCCCATCATTTTTCATGTTTTAACACGATTTTATAGTAGATGGCCCAGGGCCGTTCCTGAGATTCTTTTGCCAAAAAAATAAAAATTAAAAAAATGGGGTGGGTTTGCCGTTTTCTTATTTGTGTGTGAAGACGGACTAAAGCTGAGGTCCGATTTTGGCTGTGCTCGCTCGCTCACTGATTGGTAACATTTGGCAAATAAAATGAAATCAAAGGAAATCAAAAAGAGAATCAAGATTTCCCACAATCCTACATGAGTGTTTTCAGCATCACAGAGAATCACAACGTCCCCAAAGAACGAATGGATCTTCCTCTCGATTTCCGGGAGCATGAAGTGAGTGTGGGTGGGCGCGCGGAGGGGGGAGCCGGCCCCGCGCTCAGAAGGAAAGCCAGGTCGCTAAAGCTGCCGAGAGAGACACCAGGAGCACGGGAAGCGCGGGGAACAGGGACCCCGCCGCCCCGTTGCCGCCGCCGCAGAGTTCGAATAAGCTGCCTTGAATGTTGAGGTTTTTGGATTCTTTTCTCAGTTTATCCCACATATCTTTCGCCCCTTCCTGGCAATCTGTAAGGGCTGTGACCGTGCAGCTGTGGAAATCCTCCCAATATCTGGCGAGGGACAGAACAAAACAGAAGAAGCAGGTTCACTTTGCGCTCGGGGAGGACCCCAGGCTAGCGTCCCCTCGCCTTCCCTCTTGCAGCTTCTCACACTTCCCGGGCTACTCCTCCACCCTCTTCCTCTTCACCGCCCAGGTGCCTGGGCAGCAAAGGTCAGGACTTGCGAGACCTCAGGCAACCCCAGATCCGGCCACCAGAGAGGAGGGGACTCACCCCCCCGCCCCCCAGTCTGGTTTTTGTTTCCTGGAGCGGGGCAGGAACCCCTTAGCCGGAGGCCGTGTGGCACCCGCAGCGTTGCGCTGGCACCTCTGCAAGCGCAAACAGATTGCTAGCCCTCCTCAGGGAAAGCTAGGAAAACAGTGCTAAGCCTTGCAAGCTGCCGCCCATTAATGCCTCTTAGCTTGCAAGATGGGTTACTTGCTCTGATCACGGCCCTCCCCTCTGGGCTTCTCACATTCTCCTCCCCCTTACCCCTTCTGTCTCCCTTCTTAGTACTCTTGCCTTCGCCCTGGTTCTCTCCCTCTACCCACCCCACCTCGTCCTTTTGTTTCCCGTCCTGCTGATTTCTCTTTTCTTTCCTTTTCCATTCCCTCCATTTTCCTCTTTTCTGTTCTCACTTCCTCTTTCCCCTTGTCACCTGCTTCCTTCTTCCGTGGCCCATCCCTCCTCGCTCTCCAGTCCCCGGGCTCAGATTCAGTCAGGAGACTCCAGTCTGCCTCTCCTTTCCGTGGGGTCGGTGAGTGTTGGTGCCGGCGGAGCACCTTAGGGCCAGCCTTATAGCCGCCTCCCGCTTTTGCAAATCCCAGTGCTTCAGGCCTGCGCTCTGGGTCTCTCCTCTGCCTCCTCCCCCACTCCTTTCCAGAGGCTTGGGTCGCATGGAGCCTCCTTCTCACCTCTTTTGGGGTGTAGCTCCAAGGCCCCCAGGCCGGAACTCCAGGGCGGGCGCAGCGCCCGCCACTGCCAGCCGTCGAGGCTCCCGCTTCCCTCCTTTCCTTTAGTTTCTGGAGTCCGGTGCCAAACTGCACTTCCTGCTCCCAGGTTCTGCTCCTGGCCCCGCCCCCACAACCTTCATCCAACTTGTCCTTTTTTATTGTCCCCTTTCTTCAGAATATCCGAAAATAGATCCTGAGACTAAATATAATCCCAACCCGTGATCGATTCCTGGGGCGCTGTCTCCTTTCAGAGATGGGTCGATCTATGAGTCTCGGTAACTCCAGGCTGGCCCTGAACGCCAGGTCACCCAGTCTGCCCTCTTTCTGCACGCTAGTCTGGGCTGTAAGCACGCTGAAGGCAGGGGTTGTGTTTGATTCTCCTTGCTTCCATGCCCACCCCATCTTCTGGCTAATGGTGAAATTATAAGTGTTTGTTGGATTGCCTTGAACTCAGGTTGTATTCTAATGGCTTTTCTAATTTATAAGACTGGGAAGTCTCTGGGCTTTCACTTCTCACAAGATTTAGAGACACAAAGAAGTCGACGGGACAGTTCACCTGCAGAGCTTCTGTGTAATTGCACCTCCCAAAGGATGTTTAAATTGCTCCCTTTATCATGCCTTCCTGGAAGAGGGACAGACATCCAGTTGGGGCAAGGAGGAGATAGGCTTCAACAGGATGTTAAACAACCAAGGGCACCAACTGAGTAGAGCCTGGACCCCACCTCAGGCAAGGGCCCTCCTCACTTCCTTGGTTTCCACAACCAAAGTTCTGCTAAAAAATTAAAATAGTTTGGGATAATGAAGTTCCAGCACATGATGGAGGATTTGGAGGTTGCTTTATGTGTAACCTTTTGTTATACCTTATAGATACCTTCTTACTTATCACCAGGATTTTGGAATTAAATGACTTTTGTCCCTCTAATAATAGGAAGGTACTAGCTAATTAGCTGCTCTGGCTCCTGGTGGGTACTGGGGTGGTAAGGAAAGATTGTAATGAAAGACTGTGAAGATGTGAAGACTGTAAAGATTATTTATTTGTTTGAGTAATGAAATGGGGACCAGGAAAGCAAAACTGGACCCCATTTCATTACTCAAACAAATAAACACCTCTTCTTCTGCCACCTCCCCCTGCCAATTAGGGAGAGAGTAAGGAATTGACAGTACAGAAAGGTGGCATGAAAATGGTTGCTCCACTCTCTGAAAACAAGGGACACAACATGCTTTGACTTTATTGGAAGGACCATTGTGGGGGTAGAAAATGAAATTTTCCTCCCTACCCAAATTAAAAAAAGAATATGCATTGCTGAGGATGGGGGCATTTCTAAGGTCTGCAGCAGCTAAAATGCAGGCCCGCTGCAGTAGGGTTCTGCGGGTTACCTCATTGTTAGTGGAAGCATTGCTTTCCAACCCAAGCTCTGAGAAAACTCCACTGGGCCTGGCCATGAGCTCCTTCCCTTCCTTCTTTTTGACTGCAGCTGCCTGATCTGGGGAGACTGCAGATGCACCATGGGATGGGGAACCAAAGAGGGTGGCTGCCCCAAACCTCAGAATTGGCTACAAACTCAGCAGAGACTATTAGTGGATGACCCAGACATATTCTTTTTTGGACAAAATCATTACACAACAAAATATTGTTCCCATCTCTTAAGACCACCATCCCCTCGCCTGTTCCCACATTTTCTTGGTGTCCAGGGGTGTTTTATCAGGGGAAATGGACAAAATAGGGGAGTGATTTTCCCTTTAGGCAAATCTAGTATCCCCCCAAAGTCTTCTCAAGCCAAAACTAACTGTTCTTCAGAGAGCACTTTGGCAGGCCCCTTATTCACACAAGAGAGAGGAAAGAAGACGGCCTCAAAGTAGAGAGATTTTGGAGCAGAAGGAAGGGTAGCAATGCTTCTGGCCCTAAGCCTGGGTCCTAGCGCATTGTGAGGCCATGGAGGGCTGACTCTGGGCCCTTCCCTGGAAGATCTTCCTCTGTATCTCACCCCAGACGCTGGGGTCCCCTTGGACAGTGCAGATTTGAACCTAGGGTTTTGGTCTTCCGAGCCAGAGAGCTTGTCCCCAGGCCTAGGCCTGGGTGTGGGAGCCAGAAGGCAAGAGAGCGCAGATTCCCGCTGGCAGGGAGGCGCAGCGCTCTCCGACCTTAGCAGCGCCCCCAGAACAGAAGCAGCCCAGCCCGCCGAAGAGAACACTTACGTGCACACGGTCTTGATGTTCGTCTTGTCGTCCAGGCCCTGCGGGTAGTTGGCCATGCTGTCGCCCAGCTTGAGCAAACAGTCCGAAAAGCCCTTAAAGACTGCATCACACTTGCCAGCTGCTCTCACGGCCTGCACGAGGTATGCTGCGGGGAGGAGGGGACACTGGTCAGCAGCGCCTGGACTCCACCCTGCCGCCCCACAGTATGCTTGCGTCCCCCGACTCCACACATCATCGCCCCGTCTAGTAGTCTCTCCCAGCGCTTAGCGTCAGGGAGCCCTAGTGTTTAAAGATGGTTGAAAAACTTGACCCAAGAATGTCCGACCTGCACTCAAGGCGGCATCTAGTGCGGATCGTCCCTGTGTGTGAGCAGGTGTAGGTGGTTGGGAGGTAGGTGAGTCCATTCCTTCCCTCCAGCTCCCTCCCGCATCTCACTCTGTATCTTTTTCTGTTTTCATCGCCCCCCTCTTCTCACCTCCCTCATCTCTTATTTCTCTTTCCCTTCACTCCCTCCTTCGTCTCCTAACACTTCCCCAGCAAGTCCTGTCGCTGTTCTCCTAATGCAATCTTCCATTTTTGAGGTGACAGAGGGGTCTTAACAGCAGGGCTGGAAAACTGGATCCCGAGGCAGAGGGCAGGGTCTCGCAGCAGAACCCGGCCCACAACACCTTAATAAGCCTCAAGCTCGGCGCCCAGTGGGTGGGCGCTCAGCAACTGCTGCTGAATGAATGAAAGAATAAAGGCTCTGGAAGTCACCAGCAGTCACTGAAATAGATTGTTTCAGTATAAAACCGATTGCATCTGTGTTCCGAGTGAGACCCTCGCATCTACCCTCCACCTCCTCAAAGGAAAGAGAACAGCTTAGGTGTCCCGATACCCAGCAGGGATGACGAGTGGTCTGGGAGGTCAGGGCCAGAGGCCAGACAGGACCACAGAAGTGTCTGAACCGGTGACACTGAGTCACCTCCCTGGAGGCCGAATCCAGAAGCCTTGAGTCCCATGCTCCCCTCCGCCTCTGTCCGCCCCCAGCTTCCCGCACATCTCCCGAAATACTGCCACCATTTGGGACAGAAGTGGGGCGAGACTGTTCTTCTCCATATCGGGGTCCTAGCCTTTGGCTGCAGAGCGCCGAGTTCGCTGCCGCCTGTGGCTCAACGCTTCTAGCTCAGATTTTTCAGAGAGGGGGCTCAGATAAAACTGGGGCAGGAGAGGGAGGAAGAGTTAAGTTCAGGCCACACTGAATTCCTAGCTGTGGGCCTCCGGTCAGCCAACCCCCGAGGCGCCGGACCGGAGACACTGGCTGCAAGGCTCTGGCGTGCGGCAGCGGACCTATCTTTCTACCCTGAAGCCAAGGATCTGGGCTAGAAGCTCAATATTTAGCGGTCAAAAGCACCCTGGCGCCAGGAGGGCGGGGGAGAAGCACAGATCAGGATTGTTGGGAGCTGAGAGGGGAAGATTGGGTAAGTCTTAGAATCGAAGTCAGCATCCATTGCCAGGCCCAGGGCGCCGGCCGGTTCCTGGTGGTGTTCCGGCTGCCGCGGCTGGTGTGTGGACGTGTCCCAGGAGGACCTTACTTCCCCTGTTCCGCCACGCAGCCTCCTCTCCCCAAGCGTCAGGCAGACAAGGGGAAGGTGACCGAACCCTCAGCAGCCTTGAAGAGCATACCGTTTGCAAATTGCTGCAGGAAGAGCGAGGCGGGCCTTGCGCTTTCTAATCCGGAACGGGAAGCGCTGGGGAAGGGACCAAGGTTCACTTCGACCTCGGCTGAGGCAGACGCATAAACCTTCACAAACCTCCGGTTCCCCTTACACAAGTGAAATGCCCTTGCAACTACATAATAGCAAATCGAACACTGACTTATTTACAAAATAAACGAATCTTTGTCCCAGTCGAATTCGTTCGATATGAAATAAACCCTACACATCTTCCTCCATAATGCATGTCAGAAATACCATTTTGATGCGAAGAAACGAAATAAAATACAGTCTACTCTCCCCCAGCCAGCCCTCCAGTGTCCCCTCATCCCTTACCTCCACCCCCAAAACTCGGTGGCGAAAAAGAAGCCCATAAGCTGCATTGAGAATTTTTTAAAGGGGAATTGGGGCTCGCCGGGGGCGGGAAGCGCTCGTGTCACGTTATCTTTCCAGGCGCTGCAAGAGAAAACCCTGCACACCGCGCATGTGTGAGTGTGTGCGTGTGTAAAATAAGAAGTCGTGAAATTTTGTCTTTTGCAACTGTGACTCCCTGGGTTCTAGCCTTCTCTGGGAGGCCGGGAGCCTGCGCGCGGGACGGATTTTGCAGGCGCACGCGTCCCAGTAGGTAGCAGCCCGCGCGTCTTTCGCTGTTCTCCTTGAACCCGGTTTCTGCGAGGTTCAGGACAGCGACCCTGCTCCTTCCTTGTCCTTTCTGGCCTCCTTTATGCGGTTTCCATCGGTTTATTCAATGATTGGACTTCTCATTCATTCTAAACTTCCTCCTGCTGTGTCTTCTTTCTCGTTCACTACCCTGTCCACCTTCCCGCCCCTCCCCAGCCCCCACGTTTCTTGCCAAATGTCAGTGATTTGGGACAGCTCCCAGCCATGAATTAATAAAGACCGAGGCTCTGGTGCAGGAAAGGACAGACATTGGGGAACAAGTACGCTCAATTTCAATTCCACAGCCAACAAATGGTCATTTGCAGGCCGAGGTTAATGTGTTCAAAACGCATCTCTCATGCACAACCGCTTTCCCCCCCTTTCCCGGTAAGGTTATTTCGCACTGGGAAAACAGAGCCCCAGACGTCCCTGATTAACAACCCTAGGTCTAAAACAGCTGCTGTCTTCTGCTCCCTAAAAATTCGTAGGCTAATTGAAAAATGCCACATTCACTTATTTCCAGCGTTTAAAGAATTTGCTGCCATTATAGATGCTTTTTATTTATTGAAGATCTTTGCACTAATGTAAAAGATTCAAAACAACCAGATTCATAGCTCTATCATCTCTTAGAATGAAAGGAAAACACCAAAATCCCGCAGTCACACACTCTAAAAGTCCTACAAAAATATCAGGTACTCAAAATCATGTGAAATGAATAAAACCCCACTGCAAAGAATCCATTTTAATGTCTGGAAAACTCCAAATCCTGTTTCCTCCACATTTCTCATGAAAACATATGTTATGCATTCCATTTCTTGTCCCCCAAACCAATTCCCTAAAGCACCCCCCACAATACTGCAAGGATTTGTCTGCAAAGAATGCTACAGCACTAACCGATAGGAGGTAACAATTTCCTTCGTCTCCAGAAAACCCCTTTGATGAGTCTTTCCCCCTCTTGTCCATTCTATTAATAACCCGCTTCACTTTCACTTTTAGGCCACCTTATTAATGTCCTGACTGGACTTCAGAGCAGAGGGGTTTCTAGTGCCTCCTCCCACATGTTTAATTTATTCTAGATGGAAAAAAATGTGAACTTAAAAAAGCCCCCGACAGTGTAACTTAACATTCCTTAACATAAAATGGGGACAAAATAAATCTGACTGCAGTCAACAATAACAAAAAATAGGGACCACTCCACATGACATATTGCACACACTTCTTAACCCCTTCCTAGATATAAAATACAGACGCTGATTGTGTAAAGTGACTGGCAAATGTACCTAGAAAAGTATATCCGCATACATTTAGCTGAATTCATCCTCTCCAATGGTAAACATATTAAAATATATGGTTTGGAGTTCCCTATCATTCTCTATTTCCCCCCCAAACGGGTCTGCGGTGCCCGGTGCAAACACTGCAGCTAGGGTATGGGGGGAGGGGGCGGGAGAATGACAAAGTTCTAAATGCAGCAGTCTGAGCCCCGGAATATCTTTGCTTTCTGCATATAAACTTTCCAGTCCTACTTCCTAGCCACCTTGTTCCTGCATTCACCTTTCGACCCTTCAAAATAAAATCTTGCAGTATCGCAGGGACTAAGGCACTGATTGCCCCAGAGCGCACGAAACCTGGTCTAACCCCAGAAAGAGAAGCAAAAATGGATGTATGCTTTGGGAAAAAGGGGGATAAGCCCCATCTGGAAAACGACTGGTGGCACACATTTCCTGGCAAACGTTTAGAGTCTTCTTTAGGAAAACCAAACCTCGACCTGCAAGTTCCCAGGAGCCGATGCCCCCACCCTCGGGGGTTTGCCGGCTTCTCTGCACGCCAGGGCAGTGGCGGGCCAGCCGGTACCCCACCGCGCTTCAATCCCCAGCTGGCTGCCTCTTGCCTCCCGCCTAGAGCCGGGCTGGGCGTCCACTTACCTATTTGCACCGCGAGGATCAGTGAAATATATCTGCCGTTCAACTTAAGTCCCATCCTACGTTTAGTCAAACCATTTGCGACCGCAAACCTTTAAATAGTTAGTTTAGAGAACGCGGGGGAAAGCTGAAAAATAGGCATTGCCAACAAGTTCCGGGAGCGACAGAGACTTTATGGACTGGGAAGGCAGAGGGAGGAGAGAAAGAGAGGGAGCAAGGAAGAGACAGAGAGAGGCTGAGAGAGAGAGAGAGAGAGAGAGAGA